TAAGAACTGAACCTTTGTCACAATGTAGCCTACAGTCCCTCGAATAGTTTTTGTTCCAAGAGTATAGCTTCATTTCGTTATCAGAGTAGCAATAAAGTCGATCTAATGAAGCCTCTATGTTTTCTATACAAATCAATGGATTCGTTCGAATTAGGGGAAAAAAATACATTGCCGTTCGAATTAGGAGCATTGCACTTAATTCGAACGGATACATTCTATTTTGAACAATTAATATTTCCGGAAGGAAGTGATAGTTAGGTCTGAACTGCTGCAGGTAAATAGAATCAAGTGTGTAGAACATTTTTGGTGACAAAAATTTTTCCTGATCACGCATTTGGGATAGCAGAAACAACTCATTTTACTTTTTCTCCTATTTTTCTCTTGTATTTGATGCGTCCGTTCGAATTAGGCGCAAAAATATATATTGCCGTTCGAATTAGGAGCATTGCACTTAATTTGAACGGACCGTTCCTAATTCATTCTACCGATCATAACTCATTCATTTTTGGGATTAATTAAAAGTTTTTTTCACCATCATGTTCAGCACACTTTTCTCTATCCGGAAATGTAAAAAGCTATCTATTTTCTAAAGAAACAACCTCACAATAATCAAACGACGTCAATTTTTCAAAAGTCCGTTCGAATTAGGGGGTTTTAATCTAGACATTACATAAGAACATCGATCGAATGACAGATAGAACAAATTTTTATTCTAAATTTAGTTTCTTTTATATAAACGGCTGACAGTTCAAATCAAGCAGAAACAGTGATGAACTTAAATTTTTACATGAAAATTTCATTTTTATTTTTTATACTTTTCTCTAAGAAATATAATTGCTGTTACATCTTTTGTGGCGCTTGATGATCACTTGATGATGACTTTTCACAATGCGCAAATACAAAATACAAAACCAGGCTCATCTATTCTTCTTTTCCAATAAAGGAGTCATCGCGGTAATGTCGTGTCACGATGTTTACTTTATTATGTTTTTTACCCATTTTAAAACACTTTATCGCTCACTATCATGACTGGAAAGGAAAGCCGGAAAGTCATATTGGTCAAAAAGAGTTTATCTAGCAAGAAAGTATGATTTGTTAAACGATAATCACCAATATTTAAAGTTACATATCGCAAAAGCTAAAAGGGTACTTTTTCGGGGAAATATATCAGTATATAGTACCCTTTGTGCACTTCAACTTCATATAAGAAGTGAAAATGGATCCCCTCTGGTTAAATTAAACTGCTTCTTTTCGACATGTAATAAATGAATATCTCAATTAAAATAGAAAATTCGTTCTTTTCTATAAAGAGACAAAACTTGGAAGTAATATTTATCGTATATCTCATATATCACCATCATCGTTCTTATTTCTTGTTTTTAATTTATTTATTTAACGTGGAACCGCTTACGGTCATAGCGTCTCGGTACCTCGTTCTTTTTGATTATCTATTATTATTTAGGAAAAAAATCTCATGTTCACAATAGTAGAGTTCACGTTTCTTTTTTCCATTTCTGTGAATATATGTATCGAAATAGAAAGTTGATCTATTATCGATCCGATTCAAACGGTAACAATTTTGACGGCATCTCTAACATTTCATTATCTTTTTGTAAAATGTTTATAATTTCGACTCCACACTCTAAAAACATCATTTATCTTACAGTAAGACACATAAGTCGGACCAGAAAAGGTTGCCTTAAGACGTCTTACAGAAAGACGCTACATGTGCTTTCTGAGGCAGGCACGTCAATCTGTCTTGAATTTTTAGAAAGGATGAGGACGGATAAGTTTCCATTTCCAAACACTTTTCAAAAAGAAAAATCATAGCATTATAGTTTATTTGACATGCTGAACAAAATGGTTTACTCAAGTTTTCAAAATTCGAACGTTCTATTTCTCATACCGATGGTATCCCCCAGGAAAAGTTAAACAATGTTTTTCTTCATTTTCCCTCAAAAGACAGACATATGTGACAGATGAAGTTTTTTACGCCGATTCGGAATATCATATTGATGTTGACAAAGGTTAGCTTTCATGGAAAAAATCTTGCTCTATTGTCAGAAAATTGAGACCGTAAGACTTAATCAGAAAAACATCCGCCATCGGAATGTGACGGAAAATTTGGACCGAAAAATTAACAGTAGAACTAAAATATAGTATAATCGTTTTATTTAGAGATGGGCGCGGGGACCAAAACATTTTTCTGGTCCCGGTGAAAGATTTGCATGCCATTCCATTAACTTTACTGATAAACTATTGTTTGACTACGCATTTAGTACAGGTTTGCTCTTTCAGCCTTTATATTTTAAGGTATATCACAGACCTTCCTTATCAACTAATTTAGCAAATACAAGGACCGGAACCACATTACCGGGACCAATCTGGTTCCGGTTATTATATTTGCTATTAATTGATAACGAAGGCGTGTGATATACGCCTATAGTGAGATGAAGATGAAAATATCATAGAATTTTTTTATGCTCTGTCGGATGAAAATATTTTAAAAGAAAATAGATTTGATTTTTTAGTATTTGAGAGAACATGTTTTCCTGATGGTTTTGGAAAAACTCACAGTTAGAAAAAATATTTTAAAGTAAGTCGTTACTAACGGTTTTAGAATGTTTTTTCAAATACTGAAGAGTCATATTTTTTTTCTTTCAATATATTTCATTCGATAAGGCATAAAGAACCGTATATATTGTGATATTTTCATCTTGTAACTGGCTTATTTTAGCTTATGTCAAATAACCCATAATTCGACGTTTTATTTGGAAAAATGTTTGCTAATTTTTTTACCACATCTTTCTTCCCAAAATGCGAAAATCAGTTTCGTTTGAAAGATATAAAGATGAGAAAAAAATAGCACAGACAGTTAGGAAATCACGTCTTCGATCGAGTGATATGGGATGATCTCGAACAGCGTTGGTTAGATCAGGGAGGTTTAGTTTCTGCACCAGCTCACTAGCGGAATCATCAGATTTTCTACAAATTAAACGAGCGGCTAATTTGGTAATTTTTTATCTAGATTTTCTTTGTAATAAACAGACACAACAGAACCGTCACCTAACTTGCCAAGGATACATGACTTATATATGAATAACCCAATTGACGAAGGAGCCCTCTTAAATTAGTGATACATAGCTCCCAGACGACAGCGACATGCGAGTGTTAGATCGGACGTGTTCATCTCTCGTTAAATTTGAGGCTAAGCGCACACCGAGTAGAAAAACTGAAGTTTCTCAGGTTATGATTCGATTGTTGCTGGTAAAAGAAATATTATCTGTGACTGTCCGATGTCTAAGAAAATTTTAATTGATTTAAAGACGTTAAAAACAAATGACAGTCCTCGATTCTGTTGATATATGACTTACAAACAGAAGTTGGAACGAGTAATGAGAAGCGCTTAAGCAAGGAGCAATCATCAGCAAATAGAGCTGCAGTCTGACTGAAAGCTTATCAGCGCAGACCTTCGATCTAAAGCGTAACTCCTCAATTCACATGTGATGGACTAGGACGGGGCTGGATGAAACCTATGCCCCGAGTGTGTACGTTTACATTAATTTGTCTTAATTTTATTAAGATTATCCGTTAACTTGTCCTCGTATACAATGTATATTCAATATTGCCCGTGGGTCCCATACAACCGCAAGCGTTAGGGGAGGGGAGAGTAAGATTTTCAGCAGTTTTTCGCTGTATTTCACTTCTTGTTCTTCCTCGTTCAGAGAAATTCAGGAAAGGAGTTACACAAAAGTCGTTGAAAATGTCAGCTTTAGAAATGTCCGTAGGAGCAGAAGCCTTATCATAAATAACTGTCGGCCATGCTAGCCTTGGACATAATTTGGTAAAACAATAAAATGCTAGTCTCGTTTAGATTAGAGACTAGTAGCATTTTACTGAGAAGAATATTATGTCACATGAAGTGTTTAGCTAAAGTGGGTTAACCAAGATGGATAGCTAATATATAGTGAGAATTATGATCACATAAAATATACAGTCGCTAGTTTAAATATTTCATGAGATGCAGAGTAGAATATCTGTGCGTAAAGAACTGTTAAAGAAAATTTACTCCCTTTTATTTGGTTGGTATCAGTTATAATGTAGACGCTAACACACGTTTGTCATATTTTCTTGCAGGTATTATGCGTCGATTTTTAGTTTGGCCATCACAGCTAATTTGGGTTTTTAATTTGCCATTTATTGCCGTCTATCGTACATTGCACGAAAAAATTGACTCTCTTCCAGAATCTCAATGGAAACTAAGTCGACTTCGATTTTTTATAATTGTTTGTCTGTGTCAATTTGTGTATTATTGGTTTCCAGGTTATATCATGCCTGTGTTATCTGCATTTTCATGGATGTGTATGATAAAACCAAATAATATTCTTCTTTCTCAAATAACTGGTCTTTCCGGACTTAGTGTCGGATCATTTCAATTTGATTGGAATTCAATAACAACATCTGGTGGTGCCCCATTTGGTTCTCCCATTATAGTACCGCGATGGGCAATAGTTAACATATTTGTTGGCTTTGTCATTAGTGTTTGGATAGTGATTCCCATTGGATATTATTCAAATTCCTTGGATGCTAAATTGTTTCCGATTAACGATAATAATTATTATACCAAAAATGGAAGTAATTTCTATAATTTTTCTACTGTTATTGATCAAGATATTCATTTTAATTTAACAGCATATAACATATCCGGACCTATTCGTATGACTATATCACACGCAATATCGTATGGTTTGGCATTTGCTTGTGTATCATCGGTTATTGTACACACCTTTTTATATCATGGTAAAGATATTATTCAACAATTTCATACATCACTTGCAAATCGTGAACATGATATTCATTGTACACTAATGGCAAAATATCCTGAAGCTCCAGAATGGTGGTATTTAATTTTATTTATTATTAATTTCGTTTTAGCAATTATTGCTTGTTATATAGGAAAATTTATGCCATGGTATTATTTATTTCTGATCATTCTTCTTCTTTTTATATTTATTTTACCCATTGGCATTGTTGCTGCTAATACAAATCAAACTATACCTATTTATGTTTTAAGCGAATTTGTGGCTGGTGCTATTATGCATGGTAATCTCATTGCAGCAGCTACATTTCGAACTTATAGTTTTAACACATTATTTCAAGCAGTAACGTTTATTAATTATTTAAAATTAAGTCATTATATGAAGATTCCACCACGTACAATATTTATAGCACAAGTTGTTGGTACTTGTGTATCGGCAATTGTCAGTTATTCTATAACAGATCATTTTTTAAATACTGTTCATAATATGTGTACGACTAACGGTGATTGGACTTGTGTTCAAACCATTTCATTTTACAATAAATCGATTTGGACTATAATAGGTAGGGATTTATGACTTTTTTCACCTTTATGGAGAGCTTGTTGTAAATATTTGCAGCTTCATCTCGTCATTCATGAACAAGAAGGAAGTAGCGTATTAAGGCCAGGCCGAGTAGACATCGAGGATGCTGATAGATTAAACTCTTACGAGGAAGCTTCGCGCACTGTTACATCGCTTTTTCTGCCGTACCTAGTGGGTTATACGTTATCAACTATGCTGAATCCGAACATCATAGTGGTAGCTGCCTAGGGCCTTTAGAGAGCGGTTTTCTGGGAAACCAGTTTTTCAGGAACTATAAAAAGTAGCCAAAACCTTTCTTAATGAGGCCTGATTGTAGTGCGCACATTTCGGAGTAAAATGCGACATCTCCCGATTCTACATGACCTTTCTTTGCAAAGTTATAGAATTTACAAGACAAGCTCTAAATGTTTATTGTCAGCTCAAAGCTACAGAAATAAGAAGAAATTAATTTAGGGCCTTTCTTGTAAATTCCATAACTTTGCAAAGAAAGGTCATGCAGAACTGGGATATATCTGATTTTAATCTGATATTTGCGGACAACAATCATTCCTCATTAAGAAATGTTTAGGTTACTTTTTGGAGTTTCTGAAAAGCTGATTTCCTATAAAACTGCCCTCTGAAAACCTCTGGGCAGCCACCACTATGAAATTCGGTTTCAGCATAGTTGATAACCTGTAACCCACTAGGTTTGGCAGAAAAGGCGATATGACAGTTCGCGAGATCCTCTCGTTAGTATTTGTCAGCGTTTCTTTTGCATTTTCGAAAAATACTGATGATGATGACTTTTACAAAAAAGACTTCGCCATTATCCTGGCACGAACCTACTCGTCTTGAGGGAGATTAAATATAACCGCTATTGATGTAGATGTATCTTAAATGATCGAGGATAACTCCATGTCCACTTACAATAGTCTGTTTGCTCCATCAGTTGTTATAGAATTACATTTTTATGTCTCTTTTAGGTCTAAATACGATGTTTGGTAAAACTGGAATCTATCGCAATATACTTTGGTGTTTTCTATTAGGTGCTGTTTTACCAATTCCATTTTGGCTTCTTAGTAAAAAATATCCCTATGTGAAATGGTTGAATTATGTTCATATTCCAGTGATGTTATCAGCTGTGTCACAATTGCCCTATATACCACCAGGAAATATTTTGTCATGGGTATTGGTTGGATTCATATTTAAAGTGGTTATTAGAAAATGGTGGTTAGATCGATATGCTCTGTTATTTTCCGCAGCGATGGATGCGGGTGTCGGTATTTGTATAATATTCATATACTTTATACTAACAAATAAAAATATTTTATTTCCAAAATGGTGGGGATTAGGTGGAATTTATACAGATGGATGCCCATTATCACATAAAAACTACTATGGCTACATACCCTCATCGTAATGCTGTCAATTCATTTTCGACTGTTATCATCTATAAACTTTTTTATAAGATTTTACATCTGTTGCATGTTGAACGGTTCATTTATTGTCAGTACTGTCTCGAATGATTTGTGAAGCGTGTGCCCTCTAAAAAAAAGCGTTTCCTCGAAAACTGGAAGTGGGTTCGAAAATTCTTTCAGAAGCTCTTTTGGGTTTTGGAACTGGAATACGAAACCCTCGGGGGTTTTGCAAGAGGCTTTAGAAACCGAAAAGATATTTTAGAATACGGTAAAGGGTATCCGAACTCTCGAAAACCCAAAATATGTTTGAGGAAAATGTTCGAAAACGGAAAGGGTATCCCCGAACCGAAAGAGTATTGTCAGAAACCATTTTGAAACTTAAAATTTCTTTGAAAACCCGAAGTGTATCTGAATATATCCTTTTCAGTTTTCGATAATTTCCTGTACAATATCTGGAAATTTTTCTGTAAAACTCTTCGGTTTTGGAATCCTATACATTTCCGAGAGAATTTTAAGCTTTTTTTTATCTATGATGCAAAGGAGGAGTCCGCATAAGACTTGAAATCGGCCCACTAAATTGTTGTTATTTTATTGCCTCAAAGTATCCAGAATTCATCAAACTTATCTTATTCAGTGCTTTCGACTTTATCGGACGATTCCGATTGGACGTATACGATTAAATCTACTCGCAGAGAAGCACCCCCGTTACACTATCAGTATTATGGTAGAATCAAAATTTCTCAGCAACTATACAATATTTAGTCTAGTGTAATACACCATTCGATGCATCTTGAAAAGCTCTACAAGATGTGTCAACAGGAACTTTAACGAAGCCTGGTAGCGGCCGTTGTGAATCAAATACTACTTTTCTTTCACAGGTTGCCACTATGTTTCCGCAACTGCCGATCTCTTTTTCCTATGAAACTAAAGATGATCCCTAATTATTTATATATCATTCGTTGCGTCTTGAATAGCTCTGCAATATGAGTTCATAGCAAACTTAATGAAGCTTGGCAGCAGCCATTGTGAACGAAATACTAGTTTTTTACCACAGGTCGCCGCTATGTCTCCGCAACTGTCAGTCGCTTTTCTCCATGCAAGTAAAGATGATCCCTAATCATTCATACACCATTCGATGCATCTTCAATAGCTCTACAATATGTGTTAATAGGAACCTTAACGAAGCCTGGCAGCGGCCGTGGTGAATCAAATACTAGTTTTTTTCCATATGTCGCCGCTATGCTACTCGAACTGTCGGTCACTTTTTTCTATGAAACTAAAGGTGATCCCTAATCATTTACACACCATTCGATGCGTCTTGAAACGCTCTATAAGATGAGTTAATAGGAACCTTAACGAAGCCTGGCAGCAAGTTTTATGAGTTTAATACTAGACTTTTCCATAGGTTGTGGCTATGCCAAGGGAACTCTTGTTTCACTTTTTTCTATCAAACTAAAGAGGATCTCTACTCATTCATACATAATTCGATGCGCCAAAAAACGCTCTACAAGATGGGTTAATAGGAGACTTAATCAAGCTTGGCAGCGGTTTTGGAATTTTAAATACTGAGCCGCTTAAGCCTGCAGTGGATGCAAAAATTGTTCACCACCTTTATTTTGGATTTTTCTCATCGACGGTAATAGCTAGAACAAATCTGAAAAAAGATTTGAATAGCTGAAAGAATTTTTGATCGGAGGCGCTGTATAAAATGGTTCCATCAAAACTCTTCAAATCAGGGTCTCTGGAGAACCAAAATATTAGAAAACGAAGTGCCCGAGTTCAATTCAGAAATTCTTTGTGAATACGTTTTTCGTGTAGAGCAAACATTTCTGAAGAAAATGAGACGTCTCCGAGCTCTTTATGACATTTTTTCTTCAAACAGCATTCAGTTAACGAAAGGTTTTTCCCGTTAGTTTTGCGGTTATGGGACCTAAAGTCGAAAGCACTGAATAAGATAAGTTTGATGAATTCTGGATACTTTGAGGCAATAAAATAACAACAATTTAGTGGGCCGATTTCAAGTCTTATGCGGACTACTCCTTTGTTTCCTTACAAAAAAATCATTAGAATATCTGGGATTGTTCAAAACTTCAATATTGTTTTTGTGACCACCCTCCTTCCGCTCACTTAACTTCAACTGATCCTCCAGTATATACGTTGCATTCTGTTTTACTCGATTTTGTGCTCTAGAACAGAGTGCAATGAAGGATTTTGCTTCGATATCTCGAGTACACAGCAAGCTCTCGTTGTCTAGGGTTAACTAACATGAGATCGGACTGGAGTATATAGCACAGACAAAAACATTTTCTCACATTTATTTTCTTTAGCTAATCGACAAACTGCTGACATTATGGAGTAATAGCGAAAAACCAATAGGCGAATACATTCAGTTCCTGATTCCGTACAGAATTTAAAAATACCGCATAATCGTACCTGATATGTACTGAATTCTAGTCTGAAGTTTTTCTGATTTTCGACTAGTTTCGACTTAGTTTTTTTAATCTATTTCTGCCAATTCTCTCTATGACTCACATAAATTACTTAAAATACTGATGACCTCTATGATGAATTTGTGGAATGTAAATGCATAGATGTGAGCATACTGCCTGCTATTTTTGTTACATTCTTTGCCTACAGAACGTTTTTTGATTCAGTAAAGCATCGAAACTAGAAGAGAAGATTGTTTTGGTTGGCATATGGGCAGCTTTACTCAGTCGAGATTGTTTTATCAAGTGTATATATCTGATCTTTCCATTTCCATTTCTCTCGTTTTTTTCATATAGTACTTTATTGTTGAAAAAACGATCGATAGAAATAGATACAAGTTAGGTAAAGGGGATATCGTTTGCTCCTTCTCGGTTCTAGCCCTACACACTTTTGGAAGAAAATTTATGTCTTCTAAAGAGCTTGTCTGAAAATCCGAGCAGCAGTGTTTAACTTTTTTCACCTGCAGATCAGTAACTGAAAAAACCCCAATAACTACTATCCTTTTCAATGAGCCGTGCAGTCCGATATTTTGTTCATAACTTTTTAACGAAAAACGATAGAGAGCTGCGGTTTTCAGTTTTAGAGAGTAGAGTCTACACTGAAAAAAATAAAGTGGGTCATCAGTGAGTAAAATCGTCTCAGTAGGTAAAACGGATCCATTCAGATGGATCTAGGGATACACCAAACCCGAACGTTCGGGCTCAGTAGGCTTGGATTCGGGTTCGGGTTCGAGATTTAGAGTGAGTTCGGGTTTGAGTTCGGAAAGTTCGAGTTCAAGTTCGGGCTTGGATCTCCTAGTAAACTAAAACGCACTATTGTTTAAGATCATATCAAAATTTGATGGTTTTTTTGTAGAGAAGCGTACCTAGAAATAGATATAAAGCAAGAAACGAAGAAAAGAACAAATTTTATGGTTTTATCCAAAAGGAAAAACGCACTCGCCATAAAATGAATGTATGTTCTGGCAACTTCTCATATTAAAAAGTTAACAAATTAGAAAATACCCGTCTCCAGTTTTTCGGGCAGTATGAAGTACAC